CCCCCCCCCGCCCCCAGCCCCTGCCTTCACAGGCCTCTGGGCAGAGTCGCGCCTCACAGAGAGCAGTAAGACCTGCACGTCAGCATTCCTTTCGCCATGGAGGGCTGGGGCGGCCCCTGAGGCCTGGTTTGGCCCATCAGGACCACCCAGGGGCTGCTTTGTTACTGAAACACAGAGGTACCAGCTGTCTTCCTGCTTCTTGTTTGGCATCTTAGTTTTATTAACTCTGGTATTACACTAGCTCTGTATGTGGTCATGTGGTTTAGGAATGGGTGAGGACAGACCTAAATGGCCTAATGCTTATGAGCACACTGATTTCCTGGACACAGTTTTTTTTTACAGAAGTTTTCCCATGGTGCCATCTTTTTAAAGAACAGCTCCTGTATATTACAAGGGAGGCTAATATCTGGATTATCAAATTATCTCTTGGTTCTTTTGACATGGAGCTCAGGCAGTCACAAGCCAAAGAACCCTTCCTTTGTGTTGGGCAGATATGCCTGACACTTTATTTTGACACAGAATATGCAGCCAGCATCTGAGCATCTCGTAAGTACTCCAGAGAGGACCCCGATTAGCATGTAGTGTGGAGCGGGAGTTTGAGCGTGAAGTCTAAGTGGTGTTTCCTGCTGGGGCTGGCAACGCGCTCTAAATAATTGTATTCTGATCATTTAGGTCTCTCTTTACAGGGCATCTTTTATGACCAAGACCGTGCAGTACCAGAATGAGCTACATAAATTCCTAATCTGGGATACAGCTGGACAGGAACGAGTAAGTCGCTCTTTAACTCACTATGTGTTTTTCTGAGGCCCAAATTAAAGGTCCAACAAAACCACCGGTTCCCGTCATTTCACGTCACTCACCTCACTTCTCTGCGCTGGAGACACGTCTTTCCATTTGCGTGGGCCAGCCTTTTTCTTTTCAATTAGAACCAGAGTCCACCAATGGAGAAAGTGATATGGGCACTGAGGACATTTTTATGCTTTTTAGTGTCTTCAAGGAAACGCTGAGTAACAGGCCTGATAAAACCCTGCTCAGAGTATTGTGTGTAATTTGGGGCTCCATCCTCTAGCAAAGATATAAAAGAATTAATGGTAGAAAGGGAGAATTAAGCACATCTCATTTATAGTCACCTTTTAAAAGCTAAGGAGGGAACTTTACAGCATATAAAGTTTGAGATTTAAGTGAAATGGATGAGCTAACACAGTGCCGTGCAATAGGTGCTTAATAAACGCCTGATGATGAAGCTGTCCAAGGTGGTCACCTGCCTCAGGAAGGGCCTGGGCCAGAGCTGGGGCCAGGAGCACGGCATCACCGTGCAGAATGGCATTTGGCAAAGCCCGCCCAAATCGGACAGGATGGGAAGGCGGGGAGGGGACCAGACGCTGCTGCCACCTCATTTTCCCTCTGGGCCCAGAGTCTCATTTCCCTGTTGAGGTGTGTCTGGCAGCTACCCCACTATTCAGCTGCTGTTTAATTTTGTTTTCAAACAGTATTATCAAAAAAGAACATGTGATGGATGCACAGTGCTACCTTAAGCTCTTATAGAAGAAGTAATCAGGAGAAATAGTCTGTCCTCACAGTCTTATCTGAGGCGGCATAGATACCGCAAATGGTATAAAACCTGACAAGAATCATCACAGACACGTGGAGGAAAACACAATAAACCATTACTGTTGTCCTAGACGTAGACAGCATACATTTTGTACAGATTTAATGTCTAAAGTTTGCTCTGTTTGGTTTCTTCTGTTTTTTTAATGCTGGATATCACACCCTGTGTCCATTTCCTCATCTTAGATGCATCTGCTAAGTCTCCGGTCCCCACTGCTCCTACGTTGTTTGGGCTGTGCGTCTCCAGTGGGGATAGGCTTTTGCTAACCATCACTCTGCTGTCCTTCAGAAGGGCTGCTTGCCACACAGTGTTCCTGAATATATCCATTGCCACAGCCCTGGCATCTAGCCTATTAGCCACGAACTCGTGGCTCTTCATACAAGTAATATATGTGCCCTTTCACTGAATCCCAGGTTTCAGTTACCCCCTCCCATATATTTGATGACACAGCAAAACCCTCATTATAAAGCACATGCTATGATATAGATTCCATTATGCTTTGAATCAGAGCCTGTCCTGGTAGACATGGTGATATATAACGTCTCTTCTTTCCAGAACATAAAAAAAGAATAATACAAGGGTTTATGCCTGTCTCTTACTGCTACCATAACAGCAGGATTCTGTGAAGTTTTGTAATTAGCTGGTCTGCATGCCTCTTGTTTCCCCATTTCTAATTGATTCTGCACCGGGAGTAGTTGCTCTGAGATGCAAATCTGCCTCACCCCTACCTGGAGCTAGATCACTGAACCAGCCAGGGGCTCGCGCAGGGAATGTAGATGAGCCCAGCGGGCCCGGAAGGCCCGCCCATCAGAGCCCCACGCCGAGGAGACCCTCAGGAGAGGGGTGCCTGCAGTGAGCCCTCGCTCCAGCTGGTTGTTGCCAGATCACAGGGTTTAAGAAGAGCGAAACATCTGACAGCTAATCACAAACTGTTTGAAATGCTGTGAGGATCTTCCAGGGCGCATGTGTAAGCTTGTCCTTCCCACTTGTCCTGGGCACGGCCTTTAGGGCCCAGACCGTGCCAACCTCGGCCTGACTCTCCACCTTCACCTCCTCCCACCAGTTCATCCTCCAAGACCAAACTGCATAGGCTTCTGCAGTGCGCCAGGCCAGTCCACACCCTCATACCCATGGCTTGCCGTTCCCTCTGCTCAGAATACCCTCCTCGCACCGTTAGCCTAGAGAGCGCATGCTCAGCCTTCAGAGCTCGCGTCTGATGTCGCCCAGGGAGCTTTCCTCACCACCCCTGCCGTCCTCAGGTGGCCACGTGCCCGCTGTGCTCAGGCGTGAATGCGGAGGCTCTCCTCAACCCCCTCCCCGTCAGCCTGCCACGTCGGCGAGACCGCGTGTCCCGACAGCTCTGGCTTCTAAATGCACCTCAGGTCCGCTCGGTTCTCCCTGTCTCCACTGCCAGCTCTCTGCTCTCCGCCACCTTTAACTCTCACCTGAGAATTCCTTTCACCTTTGAACTGGTCTTCCTGCCTTCCCCCTTCCCAGCCCCACTTAGTACCTTATCCTCCCACTTACTGCCCTTCAGTGACTGCCCACTGCCCCTCTCCTGGGAGCCATGCCCTGCCCACTGGCCTGCACAGCCCTGCATGGCCTGTTCCACCTGTTCTCCAGGGCCCTCCCGGTCAGTCCACGCTCTCACCCGCTGAGCTCCAGCCCGCTGCCTCCGCTCAGTTCCTCAGACTCTCCAGAACCAGGCCTTCACGCACGCTGTTTCTCGTGCTGGAACTCTCTCTTCCCTCTACTCGGAGCCTGGCCAGCTGGCTCCTTACCAGCCTTTTCGTCTCAAGTTCAACGTCACACCTTCACAGGTTTCCCTAACCCCTCTGCACCTAAGCACGACCCTAGCTCGTTCTCCATCACTGCCCTTTATTCATTTCCCTCAGGACCCTCATTCCAAGTTGTAATTAGATACCTGTCTACACACTCTTCCTGACAGGCTGTCCCCACAGACTGTAAACTGTGAGAGCCGGGACCATGGGGTCATATTCCTAGGGCCCAGCACAGAGCCTGACCTGGGGTTGATGCTCAGATATTGGGAGGACCAATTAGCAGCTGAACTCTTGAGTGTATCTCTTCGGATCCTGAACAGTCTTTGCCATTGCCCACATCTGTGGAATTGTCCCCCGTTTCCTTACTTGTTTATCTTCTGTTAGACTGTGAGCTCCTCGGGGGCAGGGACTGTCCTCATGTCTGTGCACTCAGCCCCTGGCACACAGTATTGATACTAGTGGATTTAGATCAGTTGATTGTCAGCCCTACTTTGGCACAGGTAAGGAGGAACAGATCCTCTGCCTAGTTTTACCATGTTAGTATTGCATGCCTCAAATTATACATTTCTGATATTTGCATATTTATTATTCAGTTCTCTGTAGTAATGACATTTATTATGGAACCAAAAGTCATCGTAAAATGGCACCCCTTTATGATGAACTGACCATTCAGACATCCTCCCCACTTGACCCTCGCGTTTTCACAGATGGATCATCTTTCTGATGGTCCAGTGACAGTTGGTTGCAAAGTAATTTCATTAAGTCAATGAAAGTGATTTTGGAGAACTTCACAGATGTCATGCAAAGCCATGGACGGTAAGGGGTTTGTTACATTAAGTGAGGAGAAAACTACTGATCAGAATGATGACATAAGTGCTTCAGAAGGTAATGATTTGTGTATCAAAAGGTTGAGAGGCCTAGGGAAAACTGTTGGAGTCCTCAAATATTTTGTAAAAATTCCTTTTTTATGATAGGACTAGGAAAGGCAAACATGAAATGAAAGATAGATATCATATTGTGCCAGCATATGGTTTTATCAAAAGAATCACAGTCAAGTTATCGATCAACTCTGACTCAGTGTTCATTCAGGAAACTAGCTCCTGGGTTGCAATAATAAACCTAAGTTTTTTCTAATATCAGATAAAATGAAACTCGTTTTCATAATTTTTTTTCTCAAGATAGAGCCTTTGTCAAACCTTTTCATTCCTATTTGCTATCCTAAATGAATTCGTTTTAAGTGATCTTTTCCCACCAATCACCCTTCACTAACGGGGACTTCTGCAGAAGCATGGAGACAGACCCAGCCCCTGCTCAGACATGCACCTCAAGTCCATATCAGAAATGCACCGTAACTGTGGCAGCAGCATTTCAATTACTTGCCATCTGTCTGTGATCATGTAAAAGAAAGCTTCTAACCGAAGTCTAATAGACACTGCATCCAGTCCTTGAAGGTTTATGTCCCTGAATCTTACTGTGGTTTCTCCTAATGACTGTTTCTAGAGGGCAGAGCACCAGGAAGACACGGACTCATCCACTGTCACAGGAGCCACATAGGAGTTGTTCTCGTGTCTGAAATCAGGAAAACGTGTAGTGGCTTAATATCTAGAGCCAGGGTCCACACTGTGGCCCACAGGCCAAATCCAGCTTGCTTCCCGTTTTATCAGAACACAGCCATGCTTATTTGTTTACATATTGTCTATGGCTACTTTCACACCTCCGTAATAGAGCTGAGGAGTTGCGACAGAGATCATATGACCCACAAGGCCCAAAATGTTTACTGCCTAGCCCCTTCCAGAAAAAGTTTGCCAACCCCTGATCTAGAGCCAGATTGGGAGCAGAGCTGTGCGGACGTCCTTTTAGTCTCTTTTTAAGCTGCTGCCTGCTTTCTTTACACCAAAAGGACATGGAAAGAGTTTCAGTGTCAGTAATGGTGGAGTGGCTTGTAACAGACTAACCCTCCCACAGAGAACTATTATGTATAAACTCTGGACAAAACATTAAACAACTCTCTGAAGATACTGCCAAGCAACCAGATGCAGTTTGGGAACTGAAAAGGGAACGACATGGAGTGAGACTCACATTTTCACGGCTTTTCCCCAGAGGGCACTCCCCAGACCATGCAGCACAGGGTAGCTAGGACTCCAGCAAAAAGGCTGTCTTTTTAGCTTGCAGTATTTGAGGACAGAGTTTAAGGTTGCTAGAGCAGCTGGGAAAGAAGGAGGCAAATCCCAGAAAAGATGGATCCAACAAGGAGGGAAGCCCCCAAAATCTGCTTGTAAATTCCCTTCAAGGCTTTGCTTAACCCCCAGATTGTGACTGCACGGGGGCGACACTAAGGGACCCAACAGAAGCCAACAGCTGGAGGGGTGACAAGGCGGAGCAGAGATTCAGCTGCTGCTGATCACAGGAAAGTCCAGTCCTGCCCTGTTCGAGGGGATTGATAAACACGTTGGGCTTCCCTTGAAACTTCTGAAGGGCCATGTCTTAAGAGTAGAGACCCAAGTAGACCCACCCTAACCATGTGTAAAACAAATCTCAGGGTGATTAGCCAGTGTTTTAACACTCTTCAGAGAAGAGTGGAAACCACATGGGTTAGAAATGTTCAAAGATTTAAAGGAAAAGTAGTTTTTTTTTTTTTTTTTTTTTTTTTTTTTAGGAAAAGTAGTCATAATCTACTTAATACAGATGGGGAATCTTACACAGAATGGCAACTAATAATCAGACGGAAATGCTAAAGCTGAAAACTGTAGTATTTAAGATGAAAAGTCCACTGGGTAAGTGACAAAACAAAAGAACAAAGAGTGGAGGAATAGGAACAAAGTCTTAGTACCATAGGGACAAATTCAAACAATCTAACATATGTGTAACTTGAGACCCAGAAGTTGTAAAAAGAGGGGAAGGAGACAGAAAGAAAAGATATTTTGAGAAATAACGGCTGAAAATTTCCCAAATTTTGCTGGAATATATCAACTCACAAATCCAAAAGTTTAGCAAACTCATAGGTACAAAGAAAACCACATCTAGTTCCATCATAATCAAACTGCTGAAAACCAAAGTTAAAGAGACAGATCTTCAAAGCAGCCAGAGATAATAGTATAGACACATTATGTGTGGGACACAACAGTATGAATGAGGGCCAGCTTCCCACAGAGTCAGTGGAGGCCAGGAGACAGTGGAGCAGTGTATCTTTAAAGTGCCCAAATTATCCATCTGCCAAAATTATCTTTAAAATATGAAGTCAAAGTCATGACACGGTTAGAAGAAGAAAAGCAGAGAGGATTTAGCAGCAGCGGTCCCAGAACGGTTCTCAGGCTAGAGGAAATGACACTAGATGGTAACTCAGATCCGCAGGAAGAAATAATAACCACTAGAAACAGTAAATATAAAAATCTGTCTTTTTTCTTATTTAAGAGACTACTGGCTATTTAATGCAAAAATTATAATATTGGATTGTGTGGGTTATGACATAGATTTAAAATACTTGACAGTAGCACAAAGGACAGTGGGATAAAAAAAATCTTGCAAGGTTCTGATCTTTTACATGAGGTGGTGATTTTTTTTTTTTTTTTTGCGGTACGCAGGCCTCTCACCACTGTGGCCTCTCCCGTTGCGGAGCACAGGCTCTGGATGTGCAGGCTCAGCAGCCATGGCTCATGCCGCTCCGCGGCATGTGGGATCCTCCCGCACCAGGGCACAAACCCGTGTCCCCTGCATCGGCAGGTGGACTCTCAACCACTGCGCCACCAGGGAAGCCCGAGGTGGTGCATTTTAAACTCTCCGTCAACTGTGTGGAATGTATATTGTAGTTACAAGAGCAGCCACTTAAAAAGTAATACAGGAAGGTATAACTAAAAAGCCAATGGACAAATTAATAAGTTAAAATTGAATACTAAAAAATAGTTAATGCAAAAGAAGGGAAGAAAGGAAGAACAGGGTTTTCTTTTTTTAATGGAACAAATATAAAGCAAACAGCACAACGGTCGACCTAATATTAGTAAAAACCAAATATATCGGTAAGTACGTTAAATGTAAAGGAACTAAACATTCCACTTAAAAGGCAGACGTTGTCAGGTTGGATCAAAAGTCGGGATCTAACAATGTGCTGGTTATGAAAGGATTACCTTAAATGTAAACCCAGAGATTACTTGAAAATAAGAGAATGGAAGAGGATATTCTATGCGGATCTTAAGCAAGAGAAAACCATTGTGGTTATATCAATATCAATAAAATAGACTTGGATATTCAAGGATAAAGAAAGGGCATGAAAAGAAGAGCATTAGGGAACTTTCCATGTTGATACAAACGTTTTATATCTCAGTGGGATGGTGTTTACGTGGTTGTATACATACACATTTGTTGTTTTACCAAAACTTAAGACCTTTTATCAAACTTAAGATCTTTGCACTTCTCTAAATGAATTTTACCTTACAAATTTAAATGCAAAAAACAAACAAAGCCAAAAAACCAGCAATCTTGTAAAGCATGTTGCCAGAATAATGCATCAAAAATGAAAGCTAATATCATTGCCTTTGCTCCTGTGACTCTCACCCCATGGAAGACAATCCAGAATCTTTTCTACCTAATAATCTGGTTTCCTTAAAGTCACTTACAGGTTTTATTATTAGTGTTTTTTTTTCTTCTCTAGAACTTAACATTTTATTGGAAGTTATCAGGCTTTGACCCCAGAAGCAGGGATCTTTCTCCCTGAGACTAGTAAAACTTCACCTGGATGGTCATCTGGGTTTGGCATTTAGTTTGACCTCCTCCTGCACCTAAACAGTTCTTATTCCCTTATTCCCCACTTCTTTCTGGCTTACTACAGTGTGCCAGGCACCTGGCCCAGAGATAAAATGGGATACTAAACAGACATGCTCTCTTCCTCATGGAGTTTACAGTCATAATTTTACTTTCATTTATAAAACTCAATTTAGCATGAAAGTTTAAAAGCCAAAGGTTAAGTCATTGGGTAAGAAGTTGTGGAGTCTGTAATTCTGTATATGGAATGTATTCAGATGCTCACTTCTGATAACAGTTCCTACCTGTGTTTTGCGGGGAAGCCACAGAACAGAGAGCCAGAGGGGAGTCCAGTGGTATCTCTCACATCATATGTAGGGATCAGGTTTCAAAGTCAGGGTGTAAGACAAAGGTCAAGCATAGGTAAGAGTCTTGTCTTTCAACACTGGCATCACATTCACTGAGCAAGGTGCTCACACAGATGCCCAGGAACCAGGGTTGACTGGAGAGAGAGCTTCCCATTTTCCATCTCACACTCTTATCAAGAGAAATGGCTCACTAAATCAGCCTTGCTGTTTAAATTGTTATTACCCTCGCTTTCCTTCTCTTCCCTCCCTATTGTATTGGGGCAGGGAGGTGATTGGTGGGAAGGAGCCCTGCACACAGAGTTAAATTCATGTAAATGAAATGAGATATGTACCTGCATTTGGGAATTGCCACGTGTGTGGAAGATGTCAAAAAAGCGAGTTACAGGCTCATCCAAGTGGTGAATGTAAATGTGTACTCATTTCTGTAGCACAATCAGCATTTAGATTACAGGGTTATCTTTTCAACACCCAAATGCAGCCACTTCTCTGGAGAACTATTTACAGCATTATTTTGATCTCTTTGATAGTTTGGGAAGCCAAAGTTTAAAGGACTATTGAACAAATGAATTTGGGAATTATAACATTGAATTCAATTAAAAAGCCTTTTTAGCTGAAACAATTGTTTATAGCACCATATATAATTCCTATAAAAATGTATTCTAAAGTACCTTCTGAGAGTCATTTCAGTGTTACATTAAAAGTTTTTGCCTTTGGTAATTACTGGTTCATTTGCTTTAAAGCATCATGTCATCTTCTTTGGCTTAAGAGAAAGATTACCTTTTGTGCAGGGATAATGGGGTTAAAAGTCTAGTAAAAAACATACTTAACCAGTTTTCCCAATTTTGTTTTTTATTTTTCCCTCTTCTCTGCAGTTTCGTGCCTTAGCGCCAATGTACTATCGCGGCTCGGCTGCAGCTATAATTGTTTATGATATCACAAAAGAAGTAAGACTTATATACCGTTTTCTTTAGACTATTTTGAAAACTCTGTTTTGGTTGCTTATATCTCCAGTTGCTTTCCTCCTCTGTGTTACAGGAGACATTTTCAACATTAAAGAATTGGGTAAAAGAGCTTCGACAGCACGGCCCACCCAATATTGTAGTTGCCATTGCAGGAAATAAGTGTGATCTTATCGACGTAAGGTAAGTTATTAGAACAGGAGATTACGGTGCTGATTATGTGTTCCTTTTCTTACAGAGCAATATCCAATATAAGAATCTTGCTTTTATTTTGTCTCTGACATTGAAAAATTCCTTTTTGTTGTTTGGTTGGAGTCCTGAAGTTTCAAACTAAAATTTAAGAGTTCAGACATTTGGAGCTAATTAGATTATATATCAAGACAGGTGTGTAATATATTTAAACGTCATTTGCATCATACTTGACATTATCTGGGATTAGTGTAGCCCTCAGCTCTCATGACATAGGATACCTGAATGGGGAAGGATATTTTAAGGAAAGCACGTTTATTGGCAATTTCTCTGGACCACTTCCACGGTTCCCCAAGCAAGGGCTCTGCTTTGAGGGGAAAAGAAACCCCGGTGATTCTCTGGCCATTCCATTGGATGCATTGCTAGTAGTCCCGAGTTCTGTTCTGTTCTGTTCTGTTTTCTTTAACCGTATAAGTGGTGTAATTGGGAGGACCACGGTGTCAGGGCTCATTCACCAGCCATTCGTGACATCTTTTATCATCATAAATCTGGTTAATTACTGGGAAGGTGGGGATCACACTAATGTCTTGATGGGCAGAATTTCTGATTTGCAATTCGTTGCCTTCCAGAGAAGTCATGGAGAGAGATGCTAAGGACTACGCCGACTCCATCCATGCAATTTTTGTAGAGACCAGCGCAAAAAACGCGATAAACATAAACGAACTCTTTATAGAAATTAGTGAGTATCTCTGTGCCTTGTGGGTTTCCTCTGTGCAGAGCAACTTAACACGGAATTATCTTGCCAAGTAGAATTTTCTCCGTACGTAGAGCGGCCTCGTCTCTGATACTGTTCTCAGTGGAATGAGATTTGAGAATTTAAGAGTGACGGTGGGTTTTCATATCATGCTGTAAGTGCTGGAGAGCTGCTGCCTGATGACTGTAGCCCTTCTAGAAAGAATGTTGCTACTGAATAAAGAATGTGCAGGGCCTAGAGGTCCTAGAAGCTGTCATCTCTCCCTCTTTCTCTCTTTAAATGTGTTTCAATTAGTTGTCCAGAGTCATTGAAAATGAACAAAATAAATAAAGGGAAATGAAATGCGGGTGTAGTTCCACTATAAGAAAGCCCTCAAAAATTAATACTAGGCACTCGCTAGTGAAACATAAGACCACTTTTTCCCACCCCTCCTCTTTC